TTGTAGGTAAACATCTCTAGTTTTTCCTGAAAGTAATAGTTATCCGCTAAATTTAGCTGGAAAGAAGAAATCAAGCAAAATATGACCCCAAATAATTGCCTTGGAGCGAAAGGCCAAAAATGACTCTGTTTTAAAAGCTTATTTCTGACGTTTGGGACATAATTGAAAGCTCTGGACTAAATAGACGCAAAGATAGACCATCTGTTATTAATAATATACAAAACCCCGTGTACGTTTTTAATATTTTAAAAGTTATGACCGTTTGTATCAACGCGTACACGAGCTAATACAATATTTCCAGGCTTAGCGTAACAGATCTGTCTCGAGCATGCTGAAACTACCGTAAAATTCTGAAAATAAGCCCCTCCATGTATAAGCCCCCGAAACTCGTAAGACAAAAAACCCTCCGTGAAATCACCCCTCCGAAAATAAGCCCCCCCGGGGACCTGTACTTGGAAAATTGCCCTCAAATACAAAGTAAGACAAAGCAAAAACGGTCAGTTTCCTTCCAACTATAAGCTAGCCCAATCGACTTTGAAACGCAAATTTCCCTCCGTACATAAGCCCCTCCGAATATAAGCCCGTCCCAAAATAAGCCCCTCAAAAAGGGCCTTTGAAAAATATAAGACCCGGGCCTTATTTTCGGAATTTTACGGTATGTCACGTTTAGAGATGAATAGCTGGGTAAGAAAGAAAATAAAACAAATGTCCGGAGGGGAGACTTGTCCAAGAATCAAAACATCAGCTAAGCAGATTTCGTTTTGGGTCAGAAAACCCAAATTTATCGACAAATGTAGGATTATTTTTTCGACCATTTAATGGTGTTTTGTAGCTAATCCTAAAACAAAGTTGCGCCGGATTTTTGGTCTACAAAAAGGGTCGCCCTTAAGACTTGCCACTAGTGTCACCATTCGGTGTAAATATTGGTCTTAAGGTCTAAACACGCGTACAGAATTAATTCCTTTCTTAAAGCTACTCTAGATTAAGTGGGAGTTTCTTGCAACCATACCCTATAACCCAAATGACTTTCCTCTGCTCTCCTCGCTTTATCCGCTATCCAAGTTATCCGTGAATCAAAAAATGACTCAGTTAAGATGGAGTCCTTGGTTCAATAATTTGTTAAGAATTTCTGGATGAATCTTCGAATGTTTTTAATGTATAAAAATTAGGGAGGATGTTAAAAATGTTGGAACAGTTGGAAAATATTGGATTTGAGGGTTGTTAGAAATTAAAATATGAAGTGAATAATTAGAAGAAAAATTCAGTAATACCAGAGACTCCAACAAGGAGTTCCTCTGATCCCATTAGCGGATTAACTGCTTTATGTACATAACCTTTTCTAGTCTTATTTATTTCTTTCCCAAATCACCATTTTCTCCGAAAAAAAAACCAGAATGCCCCCTTTAACAAGCGATTTTCAAGGACCCTCTATACTACGTAATAAGCCCAGACAACCGAGCTGGCTCGGTTTCCTAGATCTCGACACACTCAGTTTCGATATATGGCCAACTTCTGTAAAGTATTAGTCACAAGTGTGATATGTTAGCGCACATAGAATGTTTCTAACCGGTTAATGATATTTACTGTTTCTTACGGAGCCTATTTGCTTAACGCAATCGATCGTTGAACTGCGTTTCAGTTCAGAGAAAATCAAACAGTTACGCCGGTTTGGAAGGCTTTATCTTTTACGTGTCTCAACGTCGAAAAGTGTAAAATAGCTTCGAATCGTATACTGTAATTGAAATTGCTTTAATTTTCTTTGTGCCTATTTACAGTATAACCTAGCCCCGATGTCGATGTTGTAGAATGTTGCTTGAGTCGAAAAACTGCACAGATTATGTGAATATACATTAATTAGTTTCAAATGTCAATCGATTAGATCAAAGGTCCACTGTACAAACAAAACATTACATAACGAGTCGCAAAAAAAACGTGACAGTTCACTTGGGTCCGCGTGTAACGTGCGCGAAGAATACCGGTATGACAAAAAGAAGCCCTAAACGAATGCAGCTGTCCCTAATTGTTGGAATTGCCTTCGGCTTGTGATTTCCGGATGATCCGTATTTCCGTATTTCCGGTTTTCCATATTTCCGCGTTTCAACATTTCCGGTTTACGTGTCAACCTGCATTTGACCGTGCAGAGCCAGTAGAAAGAAGGTTTATTCGAGGTTGTAGCCCTAAAATCTCAATTTTCTGATCCAAAATGAGACCTTCCCAGTTGATTTTCTGATTCCCAAGTAAACTTTCACCTCTGAATGATTTTTTTTACCGAGCTATTTAGCTGGAAACGTGAAACAGTTTCACCAGCTTTGAGCTTCGGATTGTTAGCATGGGATTCAAAAATGGCCGCATACCAGCAGTTTCTAAAGCACATTTCAGGGACCGCGCATTTTGGCTGATTAGATCACTATTTTTTTTTTGGACTTTAGTAAACCAGGTCTGTCTTTGACAAAAAAAGTACATTACATTATTTTATGTCAAATATGCGGACCTCTTAGGAAACGCAGCCTTATTCTGATTTGTTCATTTCGATCCAATTTATTTTTTCGAGGGTCTTCTCGTACAGACACGGCCAGATGAGGCAGTTTGTCGTTAGGTTTGTTCCTGTGTTACAGTGGTACCCCGCCTTAAGACCACCCCGTTAATACGACCACCCCGTTATTGCGACCACTTTTTGGTGGCCCGAACAAAAGCCCACTCATTTTCTTATCTGAAAATCCCGTTAATCCAACCACCCCGTTATTACGACCAACGACCACCTTTGGGAGTCCTAAGTCGTTATTTTCTATTTAAAATTACCCCGTTAATACGACCAGTCAAAATGCTTGGTGGGGCTGCGGAATAAAAACAGACTGAATCTGACAAACAATAACCCATTACTGATATTTTATTGAATGTTTTTGGGGAAAGGTGTTAGTGGTTAGCATGACATCCGGTAAATTGCTGTGTGCAGTAAAAAGGATGCATGAATAAATAATACAAAAGAACTGAAAGACTTCACTTTGCAGCATTTCGAGGCTCTCAAAGTTATTTTGCCTTCTTGTTTCTGCTGCCTTCCACTGTGGCTTTTCTCTTCAAGTCTATTTCCTTATCTTTTCTCCCAGAACTTTGAACTTTTTAATAATTGTGAAAGTGTTGTAAGCTACAATATAGAAAACGGCTCTTCGAGACAAATATAAATCAATCTTTTTGCAGTTAATTAACAACCTTACAACCGCAATTCAATACAACTGAACAATTTAACAGTAAACGAAACCGAGTAATGAGAAAAAACACTGACTTCTTTCAGTTCCTTGTTATGAATGGAAAGGGCTTGTGATGTAGTAGAATATAAAGCATTTTGCACCATAATTTGACCCTACCCCGTTAATACGACCAAATTTCCATGGCCCGAAGGTGGTCGTATTAACGGGGCTCCACTGTAGCTCTCATACGCATTGATACAAACGATCATAACTTTTAAAGTACTGAAAACGTACATGGGGTTTTGTGTATTATTAATAACAGATGGTCTATCTTTGCGTCTATTTAGTCTAGAGCTTTCAACTATGTCCCAAACGTCAGAAATAAGCTTTTAAAACAGGGTCATTTTTGGCCTTTCGCTCCAAGGCAATTATTTGGGGTCATATTTTGCTTGATTTCGTCTTTCCAGCTAAATTTAGCGGATAACTATTACTTTCAGGAAAAACTAGAGATGTTTACCTATAAATAGGTATAAAATTCATTGGTAGATGGTGCAAATCAAACATTTAACAGCGCCGCAAAAATGCCAATTTTTCAGTTTTCAAGACGTGCAAAATGGCTGTGGCGGGACAAAATAATTGGCGCTCCCCAGCGCGGCCAGAAAATTATTGTGAATCAAAGCAAACCTATTTTAGTTATAGTCTCGATAAAGCCTTTCACTCGCCAGAGTTCCAGGCAAAATTATTTTTCACGCGAAATTGAGTGGGCGGTTTTTACTGAGACAGCCTCTTAAATGGAAAACATGCTGTTCCATTAACGTAGTCAAATACAAAACAGCATGTCCTCAATTGCAGTTAACTTACTGTTAAAAGTCGAAGATCACACTTTTGGACTGCACAGTTTGCGGGTCTCTGGCGATCCAAGACTATTATATCTGCAGTACTTAAAGTGCTACTACGATCCAATTTGGGAATTTGTTTTTGATTACATATTTCGAAAATGTATGTAAAAGTGTCTTACCGTGCCAAGTTTGGAGTCCAAATATGATCTGGAAGTGTGTTTATTTGTACGGCAATTTTCATAAAAGTCTTGCCGCCATTACTCGATTCAAAAAATGACCGGGAGTAGTATTTGAAGGAGTTGGGGCGAGATGTGACGTAGAAACATCAACGCGACAAAACAAGGCAAACAAACGTGGCTAATTTCGCATGCAGGACGAGATATTTTTGGAAGATTTTGGAGGTTCTTTCTTCGCTTTTTTGACTTAAAGCGAAAGTATGCCTGGTAGACGTTGTGTTGTTCAGGACTGTGGAAACGTAAAGAACGATGAATTGGGGATTTCTATTCATAATTCTCCTGATTCGGGCAGCGTTAGATTAAAGTGGAAAAGGTTCGTGTCCATTCATCGGAAGGATTTCAACACAGTGGGAAAATTTGCTGTGTGCTCGGAGCATTTTACAAGGGATTGTTTTACGCTTGCTTTTCCGATGAAAGGCATGAAAAGGAATTTGAAGAAGGGGACGTTTCCAACCATTTGGAAAAAATCCTCTCAAACACTATCAAAGCGGAGTCGACGATCGGTGAGTGAAATTACAATGTATTTGCGCTGTGCTTATCACCATTATATTTATTTCCCCATTTACCTGTGACATGATTTTTTCTGGCATCGTTGTTCAATATTCGTGTAATGAATGCTCTGACTATTTGGACTTCCCATATTGTTGCATGTGTTTTCATACTTTTCTGCTTTCTTCTCATAGTTATAGTAAAACGGGCATTTGCGCTGAGTGGACGTGAAGTCAATTCCCCAATTCCCAGACCTTTCCACTCGAGCGTAAAATTTAGAAAAAGTGAAGCTACATAGAAATCCGGCTCTCTATTTTTTGAGAGATTATCTTGCTGTTACTTTGAGATTTGACAGTACTCCAAACTTCCCTCCAAGAAATCTTACAGCAAATTAAGAGTTACACGCGAGTCTTTTAAAACGACCAAAAATGAACTTAGTCTGATTTCTACATTCTATAAGTTCAGTTATTGTTTCCGGGTTTTTTTTCGTTTGTATTTTAATTCTATTTTCACTGTCTGCAAATGATGCATACATTTGAAGGCAAAGATGTGGTTAAACCTGGCTTCCATTCCTAGTTTTGAAAACATCGACATAAAGCTCAAATTTAAACTTGTTTTGAAGGGGAGATATAAAAAATGGTCGTACCTATTTTCATTTTTAGCTACTAAATGAAATTCTGGCTGGTCAAACTACTAATGAGGATACAGAGGAAGAAGACAATCCTGAAGAAGAGGTGATCTCTTTGAAAGGAAGTTCTGCACCTGAGGAGAGTGCTGACACTATGGGGGCTCCCAATCTCAACCCTGAGGAGTCTCCAGAAGTCGAGGGTGTTCTGAATACAAGTCAGGGTTCTTTGCTTGCGGCAAATCCTGAAAAGGAGGGCTGCATCCCTGAGACTGAGACGGATGAGATAAGTGTTGATGCTGAGATGGCTTCAGAGGTCCTAGGTACTCCTGGTGATAAGACAGCTCTCGAGAGCCAAGGGATTTCAGGAACTGATGAGGTTACTGAGACCATGCAGATCCTGGAGGCTCAGGGAATCAAAAAAGTGCAGGATATGGATGAAGTTATGCAGATTGATGAATCATTAAGGATTCCTGAACTTGAACAGGTTTCTATGGTAGGCGCATAACTCTAATTAATGTTTATTTGCATCTTTGTATTATCATAGCAATGGCATGTGCAGTTATTTTACAACAATACTAAAACACAAGAATTCTAAAGTCTTGTTATTACAGCCTGTATTAACCCTTTAAGTCCCAATAGTGACCAACATCAATTTTCTCCTAACAATATCCATACAATGTCAAGAGATTAGGTTATGAGAATTCATAAAATGATCACCTAGGAGAAAATGCTTTGACCTTTTATCAAATTCTCTTGTTGAGAACTTTGCCCCGTTCACTAGGGTTTCCAGATCAACGAAAGCTACACTAAGACAATCAGTAGAGTCGATTGTATTTAATCACCTGGCTCACTTGTATTCGCTCGTTACAGCAGTTGTGCATGAGCTACTCTCTCAAACATGGAAAAAAACGCTCGATTTCATACTAGTATACATTAGATATGATTGGTTGTTGCTAGGCGATAATCAGAAAAAGGTCAATCAATTCTTGCAGCTAAAGTGTTCATTGTCTCATAAAATCTAGATCTAATTTAAACATCCGTGTCACTATATTGTCACATAACATGAAGTCTCCGACACACTCCCCCATGCAGCATTGCATACAAGGGTGCATTCAATACTCAGGAGACTGAAACACCTATTTTTACGATTCCGAAAATAATCAAAGGCTAGATCGAAAACTTCGCTAGTAATCACTCTGTTCAAGTTCAAAATTGTTCAATTTCTTCATTATAAGCAATCTCCTTTATTCTGGCAGCTGCCGCAGCCGCAGCGGTTCTTCTCGGTCTGAAAATTGGCGCGTTATGGTTCAACCGCCGTTCTGTTCCTGCTGGCACTGTGGGTTCGCACTGCAGCTCCAACGGGTACAGGTGCTGAACAGGACGCTCTATAACTCCCTTACTGGTTCTCAGCTGCACTGCACGGATGTGGCCGTCACGTCCTGGGTAGGTCTGTTGGACAATAGCTAGTGGCCACTTCCCTCGATTCTTGCTGTCTGATCGTACTAGCACAGTGTCGCCAACTCTGACTCGATAATTTGCCGTTTTGTGTACCAGGTTGTGGCGCTCTCTCAGGGCGGTTAGGTACTCACGTTGCCATCGGTTCCACATGTGATCTTTGCAGGTCTGCAAATATTTAGCTCGTCTGCGCAAATTCGGGTCTTGAATTCTCCAGGCCTGTTCCTCAGGAAGCTGGTTGGTTCGTTGGAACATAAGGCTAGCCGGCGTCAGGATGGGCAGCTCAACATCGTCTTCAACGTAACCGAGTGAGCGACGATTAACCTGAGTCTCTACGTCCAGGATTACTTCATTCAATTCGCTCCAGGACAGTGTAGCTCCCCCTATGACCTTGTACATCGCTGTCTTCACAATTCCGATCAGGCGTTCAAATTGGCCGCCCCACCAAGGGGCGCGACTTAGGTTGAATTTCCACTGTATGTCATGGGACTCCAGGAATCCTTGCAACTGCTCGTCGCTTCGTACTTGCTTCAACCACTTGGCAGCTTTGACAAACGTGCTACCATTATCAGAGTAAATGACAGCCGGACGTCCTCGTCTGGCTATGAGGCGTTTGAGACATGGCAGGAACGTACTAGTTTCCAGGTTGGGAACCAGCTCTAGGTGTACTGCCCTCGACAGACTGCAAGAGAATATCACCAGGTATGCTTTCCCTTCTCGTTTCTGGCTCAGTCTGTAGTAGATTGGTCACGCAAAGTCTGTTCCGATGACTTCAAAGGGAGCCCTGCCATGGGTACGGTCTATAGGTAGCGGTCCAGGGGGTGGTACTGTTAAAGGTAAAGCTCTGAAACGTTTACAGCCCCAACACGCGGATCGCACAGACTTAACTAGCTGTCTCAGAGTTGGGATCCAGTATTCTTCACGGATTGCTGCCATGGTGAGGGATACACCTCCATGTAAGGTCTCGGCGTGCGTACGCTGTACAAGCTTTCTTGTAAATAGGCTACCAGCTGGCAAGTAGACTGGGTACTGTCCTTGAACTCTGCCATGACATTCGAGTACCCCGTCAGCATTTGGAACGAGGTTGAGTTCACGCTTGGTCTGTTCAAAGTAAGGCTTTTTCGCGTCTTGGGACTGGACCCTTCTTATCCACCAATTCTTCGACTCTTGTGTGTCTTCGCTAGTTAGTGGTCCTTTGCGCGCTCTGTGAGTTGTGAAACGTCGCACCCAAGCTTGGATGCGTAGAGTTCGACGGAGATCATGTCGCTCGAGGAGTTCGTCGAACACGTTTCGTTCTTGGTTAGGTTGTACTTTTGCTAGGCTAAGCACTTCTCTGATTACTTTCGCCTCTTCTTCAGAAGCTTGAGTTTTTTCTGTAACTGGGTTCTCTGGCCAATTTTCTGGATGACGCAGCCATGATGGGCCATTCCACCAGAGCTCTGCATTAGTAACCTGGCCTCCTCGGCTCGCTAAGTCTGCTGGGTTATCGTTAGTAGGCACGTGTCTCCACTGAATCTGTGGGTGTTGTTTTATCTTCTGCACGCGGTTAGCGACGAACTGTCGGTACAGACCATTTCCTAGTATCCGGTGGAGGGCGACGGTGCTGTCCAGCCAACCGTAGACCGTGGGCTCAGGTAAGTCTTTCAGCGCGTTTCTCACGTTCACAACTAAATTGGTAGCCATGTGGGCGCTGACCAACTCCAACCTTGATACAGTTAGGTTTCTTTTGGCCAATCTTGCTTTCGCGACTACAAGGGTTTGTGTGATTCCATCTTCTTGGCGTACGACCGAGTACACCGCTGCTCCGACTCCATGGGTCGATGCGTCTCCGAAGACATGTAGCTCGAATGAGAGAACTGGTTGCTGATGTGGCGCAATAGGTCTTCGTATGGTTACTTCGTCTGGGAGTGAATGTTCCCACTTAAGCCATCGTACTCTGAGATTCTCTGGGATAGGTGCGTCCCATGCTGCTTTGTAGTCGCACACTTCGCGGTAGATTTGTTTGCCTTGCAATGTCACAGGGCTAACCAGGCCGAGAGGGTCATACACTTTCGATAGTTTGGCCAATACTTCGCGTTTTGATATTGCGCTACTTGTGTTTACGACGGGAAACTGTACAGCGATAGTGTCCTCAACCTTGTTCCACTTGACTCCTAATAGTTTTGATTCACTTGGCTTGACTTGCAACTGTTGCTTTGCGTACGACTGCTCTTCGGCTTCTGCGGGAGAGTTGGCGCTCTTTTCACGCGTTTTAAGCTGGGTACTTTGTATTTCTGTTTCTTGTTGGCGGCTATCTTCTTCAAGCTCTGGACAGTTGGAATGCCACTTGTGTAGCTTGAATGTGGCGTCACTCATGATCTCTTGCGCTATCTCTTTTCGCGCTTTAGTTTGCTGCTCGTTTTGACCGCCTGTTAACAAGTCGTCTACGTAGAAACTTCGGCGCAACCGTTCAGCCTCTTCTGGGTATCTCTGCGCCCAGCTATCGAAGTGGTATTCAAGCACACCGCCCAGCAGAAAAGGCGAAGGGCCAAGCCCAAAGAGCACACGTGTGAACCTGTAAGTCTCCACTTCAGAGGTGCCGTCAGTCTGCCAATGGAATCGGAGTGCATCTCGTTCGCTCTCATGGATTCGAATCTGTAGGAAAGCTTTCTGTATATCTCCCGCTAAGACTACTGGGTAGGCTCTCTGTTGGACGAGCACGTCCCATAGTCTGTTCTGAAGTGGGGGTCCTGAGTACAAACAGTCGTTCAGGGACGGGGAATTGGGTGTCGCTCGGGCAGAGGCGTCATAAACAATTCTCATCTTTGTGGTTTCAGCGGACTTGCGAATTACGCACTTGTGAGGGATGTAGAACTCCTTTTCTGGCTGGGAAACAGGGGGTGCCTTTTCGATAACTCCTTCAGTCAGCTGCTCCTGAATAATACCATTGTATTTGACAGTAAGATCTTCACGTTGGAGTTTTCTGGTCAGGTTCTTAAGTCGCTTGAGGCTGCCTTCCTTGTTTGAGGGTAGTGGTGAGTGATTTGCCTTCCACGGCAAGGTAGTCTCGTACCAGCCCTCTTGCGAACGCGTTAATTGCTCTTTAAATTCTTCGTACACCATTGCCTGGTCATGATCGGCCACGTCACGTAATCCCAAGACGTCTAGTTTGCACAAGTCTTCATAGTCGCTTTGACTTGTTTGGGTAAACAGCATGATGTTTTTGTCGAACTCCTTTCCAGGGGACATAAGGAACCATCCGAACCTGGTGAGTTCCGCTACGGGGTCATTTTCTCGTCCGATTCTCGGTTTCGTTTCAGTTTTGATTCTGGCATACTCTCCGCTGCCAAGCACCACGTGGACCGGAAGAGATGCTTTCGTGTCATCATCGTTGACATGCACGCCTTTCAAATGTGAGTACTTTTCAATTAGCGTGCGATAATTAGGGTTGTCAATAGACAACAGTTCTGTCTTGTTTACTTTGGTCGCTTTGACTGACAGCGAATATTGATGGTCAACAGATTGTAATTCAAGATCGTAGACTTCTAGTCTGGCAACTTTTGAAGACATTAGCATATCGATTGTTTTTGTCTGGATATCAGCAGGCTTCAGGCGAAGTAATTCGATCAGTTTCGCTGATACGTATGAGCTCCCAGCTCCTGAATCGATGAGTGCTCGACATTTAATGCCATTGACTTCTATCACGATGACAGGAAACAAACCCTCTCCGACTTGGTTTGTAGTCAAGGCGACCCCTCTCGTAGGTGTTGGCTGATTAGTTTCTTGCCTGGGTGCATCACAAATGGACGTGTGGTGACGCTTGCGGCATTGCTGACAGGCGGATTTGCTGGGACAATAGACGGCGCGATGGTTCCCTGCGGTGCAGTTGAAACACAGACGTTTGTTGAGGAGAATTTGTCTGCGATCAGAGACATCTGTCACTTTTGTACATTCGACGGCTTTGTGATCTTCGCCGCAGTACACGCAAGGCCAACAGCGGGGTTTTAAATCGGAGCCACGACGCGTGTGGTAAATTCTTGCCTGCTGGCGTAAGTTCTGTTTTGCTGTTTGTTGTTCTGTTTGTTCGCGCTGGTTTGTATCTGCCGGATTCCTCCTGGTCCACAATCGAACTGCCTCTGAAAGTTTCGCAAGGTCCCAGCTTTCCCAGCTTGGGTCGATCCGGACGAGATCTCCACGGATCGCTGGCAATTTGTCTAAAGTCATGGAGGCCGCTCCATTGACCTGTTCCAGTTTGTTTAATGTCTGTAGAGCTTGCACGCAATACGTTAGCTTTTCGCTAAATTCACCAATTTTCCTCGGGTTTGCGCTTGAAATTGAGGGGAGATCCAGAATCTCTTTGATGTAGGCTTTGACGATTTCTGACTCCTTTCCGAACCTCTCGTTTAGGATACTCTTCGCCCGATTGTATCCCTCTGCTGTGAAGGGCAACGCCTCTATCGTTCTTTTTACTTTGAAGTCCAATAGTTCTCGAAGGTAGGAAAATTTCGTGATCGGTGGAACGCTCGTTTTATCGATTGTTTCAGTGAACTGTCCCCAAAATCGTGGCCAGTCTTTGTAGGTACCGTCGAACTTCGTTATCGTCAGTTTAGGCAGCTTAGCTTGTATGTCGCTTGGCGTCGTCATGCTTCTTGGGGGTGTGCCGTAGCTTGGATTTCTGCCTGCATCTGTATCTTCGCTTTGTGGAACTTAAGTTCTTCTTGTTTGACAACTGCTTCTGCTTCTCTTTTTCGGTCATCGACCCATGTGCGCATTTTATCCACTTCGTAATCTGCCTTTTCCAGTTGTGCGTCAATCCCGCTATTCCACGCCTCGATGTCGGCAATCTCTTCCTTCGCTGCTAGTTTTGTCGCCTCCACTTCTAGACGCATTCGATTAATTTCTGTAGTGAGGGACCGTAAGGTGGAAAGATGTCTCTCGATCGCTTCTGCCTTCCCTGCTTCTACGATGGTGTTCGTTTTTCCAATGCTCATTTTCAGCTGTGTGACCTTGATATCCAGATTTGCTTGGGTCGCTTCCATCTTCGCACGGGCAGAAAATCAGGACTAATTATACTTACAACAGTTGTTCTTATCCTTCTACAGTCCCGTCGGAGGTGCCACTTGTTGAGAACTTTGCCCCGTTCACTAGGGTTTCCAGATCAACGAAAGCTACACTAAGACAATCAGTAGAGTCGATTGTATTTAATCACCTGGCTCACTTGTATTCGCTCGTTACAGCAGTTGTGCAAGAGCTACTCTCTCAAACATGGAAAAAAACGCTCGATTTCATACTAGTATACATTAGATATGATTGGTTGTTGCTAGGCGATAATCAGAAAAAGGTCAATCAATTCTTGCAGCTAAAGTGTTCATTGTCTCATAAAATCTAGATCTAATTTAAACATCCGTGTCACTATATTGTCACATAACATGAAGTCTCCGACAAACTCAACTCATTCTTTAAGTAAATGTATAGAGATCAGTTTGGAGAATTTGCATATAGATATTGGGGCCTAAAGGGTTAATGTTGAAAGTTTGTTTTTTGTAGGATACTCCAACTGGACATGCTGGGAATTGAACAACATGCAAAACCCTGAGGAGTGAGGTGACTCAGTTAAGGGGCAAAGTCACAAGACTGAAGAGTAAGTTAATCTCCAATCAAGATCAGTGGGTTGAAACCTTTAAGAGCATACAAGAGCCGAAGCAGTTGCTGATGGTGAATGCTGGTGGGTCAACAATAATTGATGTTGATGAGTCATATAGGCATAACTGCCTATCTTTATATTTTTATTACATTTCATCAATATTTGATTATTTAATAATAATTAAAATTTTAATGGTGATATAATTTTTTTAATTCCATTTGTTTAAGCTATTCAAACTGATCCATGGCCAGTAACAAATGAGACAGAGTTATAGGGCTAGATCAGAAGATGAATCAGAAGATGAGCAGGAAATGCAGGATGACGCGTATGAGGAGTTTGAGTGTGATGAAGACCCTACATGGAGTCCTGAAGAAATCGAAGATGCATATAAAAAACTAAAGGAAGACGATACAAAGATGCAAAATTTATTGCATTTTAACATCTTAGCTCTAAGTATCCTCTGGGAAGTGATTTGGGCCTAAAACTAACTTCCATTATGAGAGGATCTATTTAGAAACAAGAGTACATGAAAACTGTTTTTTAATTTACTCAGATAAGAATTGCAAAAAAAAAAAAAAAAGAAGAGGCATAGCCAGCCCATAGACTGGAAGTCCCAAGCCTAAAAATGTTTGGTTTGTCCACTCAACCACTTGTAATAAATTATGCATCGTTGGGGTGGGCTAGATAGCTTAAGGGCTCAAAGTTGTCATGTGTGCAATCAACAGAATTATTATCAAAAAAGCATTTTTCAGGATGTATGTGAGAATAATATCCCAACCCACAATTAGCCAGGTTTACAACAAGTTGAAAAGCTGGCAACACCCTGAGAAAAACAATAAAAATGATAATCATTTTTTTTACTGTTATTTTATTATTTCAGATGCTATGATTAAATGAGTATTTCCTTTCAATCATTTTTTACAGGTTGGATCTACAAGGAAAAAACATTCGAGAGGAACCGAAGGGAATTGTTTTCCTTTCCAAACTTCTTCTTTTGTTTCAGTTCTGCCACTTGTGCTTCTTTTCAAAACCCAGACTTTCTGTGTCACAGGCAGATACCTTGTTAACCGTAGAAAGTTTCTGCAGAAACTGTAGCCAGACAAAAGTCTGTAAGAGTCACCTGCTAGGAAAGTTTCCAGCAGGTAACCTGCTATTAAGTTTTGCAGTGCTCTGTGAGCCGAATGAAAAGAAAGAAACGATACATTAAAACTGTAATTAAATTCAGGCTGAATTCGATTTAATTTTTATTACTTGTGTACAAGAAAATTGGAGCAACATCAGAATTCCCAGCCACTAAACTTGAGTTTAACTGAATGCTAGAAGAACAGGGCTTCACACAGTGGGCAAGTTTGTCATTCAACAAAAAGCGAGTAAGTGGCTGAGAATTCTGAAGTTTGGCTCATAAAATTAATTGCTTACGGACAAGTATTCAAGCAACTACTGTAGGTCCTTCTTGGCCCCAATGGCATACATGACACTCTTCAAGAACAAACAGTGCATTTATTATTCATTTTCTTCATCTTCGAATTCACGATAATGCCATTTTGACTCGGAAATTGTTTCCTGATTTTATTGTAGGCACAACAGGGCAAGGGGTATCGCCTGGAACTAGCAATATAACTCCACAGCAGTCTTGTAAATTGGCGATAGGCCACAGACCTCAGGAATCTAGTTAGAGAAATGAGATCACTGTTAATTCAAGGAGGGATTGGATGGAGATAAATAAATACTCCTTTTAAAAATAAGCAGTTGGGGCAATAAAGCCATTTAGAAAATAAAAAATGCGATTCTATGAGATCAGTCCACGGCGATGAGCTTAGATGTATCAATTATTCAATGCTACGTAAGGTTCGATCGTTCCGATACAAAGTCAACAATACCCCAGCTTACTCATTATCACTTTTGTTGCGTTGCCCACGAACAGTTGTGTACGACTTTCCAGCTCGCGTTTTTAGGCCCAGTACAGCCACTTCTAATACGTGGCGGTTTAAGCAGACGCTTTCAAACCCTGGATGGAGGGTTATGCATACGGTCCGGTCTCCAATGGCTTCTTCCATGCCCTCTTCGCAGCGATCGATCTCTTTGCAGCAAATGCACTCCTGCGCTTTTGTAACAAGGCTGATAGAGCAGTTCGAGCACGAACACCAGCAAAATAATGTGAAAAATTCGTCAAACACAAGAAAAATACGTATGTATAATATTATTAATTGTCTGACCTCTTCAATAAAACTATAGCATAAAATCAGGACTACAGCTAATCACATAGCAACGAAATTGTAAACTTAAACAAAACACACAGTCGCGTTCGTGACGCGCACGATTTAACGACGGGTATGTTGAAACTGGAAAATAAAAATATAAATCTACATTCCATGATAATACCATACCATTCATTCGCTGGCACCTCTCCCGAATATCTTCGTTGAAACTGTTGTTCCTTTTCTTCTTCGCGATGAACTCTTTCGTTGTAGTCCGCGGCTTCTTCCTCGGTAGCAAGGGGTTCGCAACTGTCGTCGTACGGCGCAAATTCAGACAATTCCCCCATCACTTCGTCTACTGTAAAACTTTCTAGATCACTTTCAGATGTACAGGAAGAGGAATCCGACGGAGATGATATCTTAAACGTCTTGTTAAAAGGCTCTAAACTCACAAACTTTTCCCAAATGCGAATCTTTTGGTTGATGTTTCTACGTCACAGTGCATAAACCACGTGGTTAAACGCACGACCGCTTTGCGGAGATCTCGCGGGCTATTGCTTTGCGAACTTTGTAATGGCGGACGGCATTTACGCACTTTTCAGTGGGAAATTTCCAGCCCCCGTACGCAAGTATCGTTCCAATTTGTCGCTATTTGTATAATTTTGAACATACACAAAAGATTTATGTTAAAAAAACTCGGAAACAGAAACAAAAATTTTGTATTGGCATAATACTTGGAAGGAGAGGGTCCAGGCTTTGCATTTATTTATTCCACGGTCACTAAAAATATATTTAGTTTGTTTATAAAAGCTTGTGAGACATCACTATTTTGGCTCATCTTTGGTAAAAGTGAAAAGCTAACAAGTAATGCAAACGAAAGAAAACAACAGAGAACCTAAGGAAAATAAAAGGTATAAAACAATAGATTACACCAACGTAAATCTACAATTTCACCATTGTTAGTTGCTGAGGACAGGTACAATGACAGCTGAACATGTTTACTCATTCAAGGCCCATAAAGATATATTGATATTGACTGAGAATGAACCCAGCTCTGTAATCTTGTTAAGTGGAACATGTCTGTGACAAATAGTAAGTCAGAAGTAAACAAGCAGAGGAACATGATTGATTGTTGTAGTTTATGTCGGCAACTCTTGTGGTACTGTTCTTTGATTTTTCCTTTAATTCTACTATCAATATATTAGTTTCCCTGTTGTTAGCACACAGACAACTGTTTGTAAACTTATGATAACCTGTCAATCACACTTTAAACAGAGCTGCAGGTCTCCACTTCTACCCACATTTCTAATGGTATTTTCTCATTATTTTCCCATTCATCTAAAGGTACAAACACTACAGGCTATGAGTTCAGGAAAAAGATTTGTTTTTTGCCATCAAATGTTTTTGTCATGAAGAATATGACCGCCATTAGTTTGCATTTTTCTTCTGATGATGTTGATACTTCTGATGGCACTGGTTTTATGGCTGGTTATGCCACATATGTTGAAGGTACCATAAGTAGTGATTACCAGTATAATAGCTGCCATAAAGTAACATACACATATAGGCAGGCAGGCTTCGGATGTGTTTTGCACAGTTTATTCACCTTTAATGACCTCAAAACGCATCTGATCAAACAATTTAGGAAAATCACATACAAATGTAATCTGTTTAAAAAAACAATTCGACTATTGGTTAATATATGAATTCTAGCTTAATTATTGTACAATCAGAAATTGATAACATACAAGTTTTCCCTTTCTTTTTCTATTTAGGTGAAGAGGATCTAGGGTAAGAAATCTTTTAAGATGTGCTAGGAATTTTGAGAATTTATATATTTCTTTAAAGTTTGAGATGGTATTCCGCTCTTTTCCTTCCACATGGAAAATTTGTTATTCAGGTTACAAATAATCATTACCTCTCCCTGCAAGTAGCCGGCCAGCTGCTCAAATATAACAATTTAAACAGCGAGAAAAGGAATAATATATGGTGCATTATAGTAGTAAGGGGAGCAGAAAATGTCAGTCTGTCAGCATTTTAATATGTACAACCTCTCTTACAATGCAACTTCCCTGTTTGTATGCAGTCTAACCACCTTGTTATCATGACCAGTTGTTAAAATGACTGAAAATCTTATTCATGAAAACCACCGGAGTTAATATTACCAGATTCTCATGGCCTTTGGATGGGCAGAATGACAAGGTTTTGTTTCGGAAGAACAATGGGAAATGCTCATGCAGCAGTTGCAAAAACCAGACTTCAGAAATTTTCCAGAATCACCCAGTCTGTCCAATTTGTCATACTGTTTAGTGTTGGGTGTAAATGTTACCATGACACGTATGCCAATGTTTATGTTTCCATAGCAACCGATTGTTGACAGGCATATATTGCAACACTGGGGAATTTTCCCTTTAATCTGTTGTTTCTCTAGATTTCCAGATTAAATTATTACCTTTTAACATTTTTTAGCATGTTATTTATTCATGTTGTCTTTCATGAATTTTTTGGTGTACTCTAAGTAATCTTGCTACAACCATTAACACCTAAAACACCCTATTTTACAATGTTTAACAAAACCTGCAGGCAGTTACAAGTGAAGCTACATTTTGTATCGTCTCAACGTTTTTAGAACAAATGTAGTTTTCAAGGTGGTGCAGAGCGACTTTATTAAAAGCACGTTTTGCACAAACATGTAAATACCGATCCTTCACAAAGCGAATTATACTCAACAGTCTACAGGTCGCATAGGTAATAATTTGTACTTGTGTCAGTCACGGTAAAGCTTTACCACTGATTCTTGGAATCGCTCAAGAATTTTGGCCATGATACTTACAGTTTTTAGGCCATTGCGCGATGAGAATCACGTAGCGCACGACGAGAATCGAGTCGCGTGCAACGCGATTCGCGTCTTAAGAGAAGGTGGTAACTAACTTTGAGCGGTACTGTATATTGTTAAACCTTGACTTATTCGTTTGGTGCATCACCTGCACAAGATGATAATTGGCCAGTAACAGAAATATTCAAGTGTCTTTATTCAGTGGTAAATTTTAAGGATAACCAGTTCTTAACTGTATTTACCGACCCCTTGTTTCCATTGACTAGAATGAAATATTATAATAATTCAAGGCTGCTGTGTTACTGGGGCCATAACGCCAGTATAATTAGTATCTGATTTGTTCAGTTTTTTATCACCTCCTCCTTAATACTGTATTATTATTATTTTTGATTTGTAGATGTTTTATACCTCCCACTGAAGTCCCAACAAGTACAGCTGGCTTAACTAATATTACCTTCACTAATATTACCACAGTCACTAAAGCTTCTACAACACGTGCCACTGGAACTAAGAAAAGACTCTCTGGTGAGCCATCACCATCATACAAAAGAAATATATTAGATATATCCTAGTTTTCAGTGTCTTTACATTATTTATTGCATGTTGTATAAAGTTATTGTTGATATATAGGGTTTCAGTTTTATTTTATTTGTATGTGTGCCGATCGTTTTTCCAGTTTGTGTGATTTGTTTCTTTTCTGAGGAAGCTGGTAGGATAAAATCTTCAATTAAATGTCTACTACAAGAAAAGTTCACTTCTTGACGTGATATTCTCGTAATAAGCTAGTATGGAAGCTGACAGTCTCATCCCGGTTTTTTTTTTTTTCTTCTCTGCTTCTGACAGGATGGGAAAAGGCAGGAATTTCAATCGGAGCAGTGATTCTTTTTCTAGCATCAATAGCGTTTTTGATATGGTGGAAAAAACGCCGTGGCTGTTGCTGTTGCAAGAAATCAAAGACGTCAGCGGAGAAATAAATATTCTTGGAAATACTTAATTTAGTAACCTCATACAGTAGTGAAGTTCAGTCTTTCATTAGACTGAGTTGTGATTGCTGCTGCTTGCTTTACTGGGCCAATAACCTGCTGCTGCTGCTGCTGTTACTAACACTATACCGCTCTTATACCAATAGTGAGCTTTTCATCACTGTAATGTATTAGTACTTTGTAAATACTGATAATGGGGTAAAAGCAATGTCACATGGTTTCTAAGAGAGTAAAAGTTAATGAAAAAGCTGCTGATACAGGTGATCATGCCTGAGTTTTCTTGTTTTACTGACAATAAAAAGGGAAGAGTTTGTCATGTTGTTACCAATGACTCTGGCAAATCCGGGATGGGTGAGGTTGATCACTGTACCATTTCTGGATGCTACTTACTCCATACATTCCTCAGCATAAATTTTAACCAGTAATAACAAGTAATTTTTATGTGACTTAAGTCGTTGCCTCATTTTTAGGAAATAAACTAACCGGCCATCAGTTCTTTGTATTGCCTGTAGCTTTTGTCCACTGAGTAGAGACCATGTGACTTTTCATCCCACAAGTACTGTGAAGTAGCTCTAGCGACTTACTTGAGTGACTGCAAGAGTATGTTATTCTAATAGCAATAACAGTTGTAATAATGTTAGTTGTGATAGACTTTTTTTATAGTTTGTCTCTTTATAACTTTGCTGTTGATTGACACAGACGTTACAGATACTAATGCTAAGTGTAAGAGGAGATACCAAGTGCACTTATGTCCAGGATCGATCTTGTTAGCAAAAAATTGCTAGCAAATTGTTTTCGCAATTTTAGCAAAAAAGATTTAAAGAAAACTGCTATCAGAAAAATAGAGAAGAAATAGCAAATGTCACAAAAATCGTAAAACTAAAAAGAATTCCTATGTGAAATGATTGTGTAACAAATATGGCAAAAATAGCAGGAATAACAAAATTCTACTTTTACGAAGAGAAAGGGCCAAGAAGGGCTTAGTGAAGTCCGCAAATTTCGCAATTTCGCAAAAGTAACGGGAATTTTCCTTGCTAAGTGAAAAGATTGAGTAACAAATGTAGCAAAAACAGCAAGAATAACAAATTTAACGAAATACTACACGAAAGAGAAAAGGTCAAGAAGGGCTTCCAGGTGTCCGCAAATTTCGCAAAAATCGCAAAAGTAACAAGAATTTTTCTTCCTATGTGGAAAGATTGAACAACAAATATGGCAGAAATAACAAGAACAACAAATTTCACAAAATTCTACACTTAGAAAGACAAAAGGTCGAGAAGGGCTTCGAGATGTCCGCACATTTCGCAAAAATAGCAAAAGTAAAAAGAATTTTTCATGCTATGTGAAAAGATTGAGCAACAAATATGGCAAAAATAGCAAGAACAACAAATTACAATGTGACCTTAATTTGCAATAGTCATAAGGTAATTACTGATTAGTTGGCTGTTAGCTTACCCTCATAGAGATGTTATACCCCCCATCATTGAATAGAGACATTATTCTTTTATTAACTTTTATTTGCAGGATCATA